TTCTAACCGAATTAAAATATAAAAAAGGGATCTGGTAAGTCTGGTATGTCTTATTTCGGTTCCATTAAAAATGTCGATTATTTGCAGAAAATGTAAAAAATGGATCTGAACGTTTAAATTTCGGTGGGAAATGATCAATAGATCATAAGAGAATCGCATTTTTATTGCTTCCTAAAGTATAACAGGTAATTTCAATAAATACAAAAGTATGTACATATATTCAATATTAATTATAACATTATTTTTGTTTATTTCGTTGAAGGATTAATGCGTTCCAAAATATAACTCTTACAATTTGATGGATTGATCATAAAATTTATGAAGAACTACAAAAATATTTTAGAGTCCAACGTTTTACAATTTTTGGAAGTATACCAGTCAACAGTTGGAATATTAATACAGATTTCCTGAAAATTATCTTATTATAAGGTAATAATTCCAAATTTTTGATACATATGTACATTAGTACTCACTCTGTATGGAAAGCAAAAACGTGTTTTTGTTACCCCTCTCAAAATTTACCTTGCTTTGTTTTATGATAATTCCCAAAATATTTTAAGTCTAGCGATGACCGTTCGTGAGCTGGACCAAATTAAAAAAAAAGGTATTTTGGAATTATTTTTTTTTTTAATTTTTGTTTGTTTTTTTTTTAATTTTGTTTCGGTCTAATGTACATATATTACTTTTTGCGATTAGTTGTTAAATCTGTTATTTTTTCTACTATTTTTATTTCAATTATTTCAATAAAAACTATAAAATTTCATTTTATTTAGATTTATTTTTATAGATTTTATTTTGGTGAGTATACAAATAGAAGAAGAGAAAACTCATCTTCTAGAAGACGGGAATACTCATCTTCTAGAAGAAGAGAATACTCATCTTCTAGATGATGAGAAAACTCATCTTCTAGAAGATAAGATATGAACACTTCTAGATGATACTAAGTAGTCACTTCAAAAAGTGACTTCCTAGTTACATCTAGAAGAGTCTTTGGCAATACCTTACTTCCAAGAGTCATCTAGAAGTTTCTTCTGCGGGTCTTCCAGAAGAATATTCCACGTTACTCTTAGACGTTCCCCAGCTCGGCATCAGTTCTTCCCGACTGGTGACAAGAATTCTTATACTTCCGCAACATCGCTGGCGAGCTTTTAGCACGTTTGGAAGTTTCATACGGGTAACTTCCGCAATAGAAAATGTTTGTAGGGGTATAACAACAAAAACCAACTTAGATGATGAAAAAGAAAGCAGGAGCGTAACATTGACTCTAACAAAAAGGATTTCTGTGTTAATTTCTATATTCGAGTTTAGCTTGAAGTTTCTAGTTATGAAGTTATGTTTGTGATCTCTCTTGTTTTCACAATTCCATCACATGTCTCTGTATTCATAAAACTCTGTTTTTGATTATTTTTGCTGTTATTATTGTTAGCTTTCTGTGATGTACATCTATATATAAAAGAGTAGCGTTACTGACTGACTGATTCATCATCTTACACAATATTAGTAATACAAGAAAAATTTTAAATGCACCTGTATCTACTCTTAAAATAAGCAGATGGGTTTCTGGTACTTTTCTGAAACTCGTACTTTTAAGGGGTAAAAATGTGTAAAAAAGGTGATTTTGGTACCTTTTTTGGCCACTTATAACTTTTGGACTAATTAACATAATAAAATTTTTATAAATATTTTGGATACATCTCCCAAAATTATGAGACACCTGTTTCATACTTTTTTAAAATTCAGTCGTTTTTGGGTGTAAAAGGGAGAAATGGTACTTTTTTTAGCACATTAAGACAACTTTTTCGTTTTATTGAATTATTCCTATTAAATTACGGACTAACTCTGTAATATTTATTGTAATAAAATTTTTGCTATTTCACTGGGAAAAAAAGTACCAAAAAGGGGAAAAACGGGAAATTTAATTTTATTCAAACTCATTGAGCCAATTTCTATAAAATTTGAAAAAGTAGTTCATTTACTCACACAAAATAAGCTGTTGGTATATTATTTTGTAATTCGAGTACTAAGTTCTATATAGGAGTCGAGTAAATTGTTTGGTACTTTTTGAAAGCACTATTTTTCTGGAACAAATGAATGCAGATTTGAATCGTTTGAGTTTTATCTGTGATATATTGATTTAAATACGAAACATTTATTAAACTTAATTCTCGAAAAAGTATATTTCTAAGCGAAAAGGGGAAAAAATTGTATTCTTTATTAGTACTTTCCACTTAGGTAAATTTTATTCCACTTTTGGTACTTATTCTTTCTTCAAATGATACTCTTTTTATGTTCTTAATATGAATTCAAAACACATGATTATTAAACATACACGGTCCTCATTGAATAGGATTCTTTAAGAGAGAACTTTTTAGTACTTTTTATCTCATAAATGGTACTTTTTAATTTTCTAAAATATTCAACCTAGGAACATTAATTTTAACATACATGGTCTTGACTGAATAATATTCTGTAAGTGGGAACTATTTGGTACTTTTCTATTCTTGAAATGGTACCTTTTATATTTTTATAATGGTTAACCGGAACACACGGTAGTTATTAAATGAGAATTTATTGAGAGAGATTTATTTACTTTTTCGTTTTTCCGATGGTACTTTTTTGTTTTTTTTACGATATTGAACATAGATATTGAAAATAAAATTTAAAATGTAGTCACCTTGGTGAATGAGAATCTACTGAAAGGGACTTTTGGTACTTTTTCATTCATTAAAATTATATTTTTTGAATTGTATATATTATTGAACAAGGAAACATACAATTTTTGATTAAATGATAATCTATTAGAGGTATTTTACAGTACTTTTTTTCAAATAGTACTTTCGAAATTTTCTATAATGTGGAAGCTAAATGAATGAGACTAAAAATACAAGCTTCTTACTGAATGCGAATTTAATGACGTGATATTGAACGCATAAAACTGAAACATTAAAAAAATGTTTAATCAATTTTAATTTTTTATAAAAGTAAACAAAATTTTGTATGTATTTAATTTAAATTAGGGTAGCGAAGCACCCAGGATATGCTAGTTCATACATATGTATGTGTGTGTGAATTTATATGTATGAAAGTGTTATAATTTTCCTATGGCTGTTGTTGTTATTGTATTCATTTCTGTTTCCTGTTGATATTAAACACTTTCTCATTTTATTTTTTTGCTATGTTTCTGTTGTAGTTGTTATTATTGCTGCTGCTGTCATTACTCGCTGATGTTGTTTTATTGTTTACATGAAATGTACAATATTTCATAGTTTCTGTCTAAATATTTTTTATTTCTCTCTATTTTTTTTTTCTGTCTCCCACTCTCTATATTTGTGATAAACTGAAGTTTTCAGACTGGAGACAGTTGATTGTGGTGATATATATATTTTTTTTGTGATATTTTTGTTGTTGTTTTTAGAATAACAAATATCCTGGCTCATATGTAGTATTGTTTTGTTTTGTTTATACACAGCTGCAGCTACATACATTTGATTGTTGCTGTCAATTTTATGTTTTGTTAGAATTTTTACTTATTTTTTTTTTTTTTTGGTATTTTATGTGAATTAGTTTCTTTTTCACTTTTTATTTAGCTTTTTTCATGATATTGTCCAGTTTTAATCCTTAATGTAATCAAAGATGATTTTTTAGTTATATTTTTTTTTATTTGTACCATGTATTGTTCATAAATCAGTATATATTTTGGACATTTTATTTTTTAGCTGTATAGTTTTAGTATAACATATATTTTAATCTGCTTAATAAAATATTTGTGTATGTAGGAAAATAATGTTACTTATTGTTTGTGTATTTTATTTACAGCTTATATTAAATCTAACAATAATTTATAGAATTATATGAACATCAATAAACTGGTAAATATGTACCGGATTAAACTGTAAAAATAGCAATCTACTTTTATGGATAGATGTACGTTTTGAAGCTATAATACTGTCTCTAACAAAAAAATTATAAAAAAATATTGCATATGTTTAGGCTTAACAGCAAATATTTATATTACAGAGTTGCTGGACTGAAGATTTTTATATGAAATTGAAGTAATTGATAAAAGTAACTTAAAAATTTATGTTTGGGGACAGTTTGATAGTTTAGTCTCCCTTACAGGGATAATTTTGGAGAAAATTCTCACATAACAACAGGAATTACCGTTCAATGTTCCAAAGCTCAGTTAACTAAACGAAGTTCGTAGAAATTTCTTTAGTTCAAAAAATTTTCCACAAAACTTTGTTGGTAATTTTCTGAAGGATCAACATCTGATTTTTAGACATTTATACATATGTACAAAGTTAATGTTTCTTAGACAAATACAAAACAAATGTTTTAAGAGTGAACAAATATCTTAACAAATTTATAAACATTTTTTCTTTCAAAACAAGTAGGAAAGTATAGTCGGACATGGCCGACTATATGATACCCTACACCATGGGTATATCTTGAAAATGATTTATTTAAGCAATTTATTCATAAAAAACTAAATTTTTTAAAAGAGGCTTAATATGAGAGTTAGGGTCAAATATAGGCCGATCGTATGGTCCAAATTTTATCAAAATATCTTGAAAATTGTGGCCTGTAGCTTGCGCACAAAGTTTAAATGGACAGCCAGCAAACCGGACAGACGGACAGACGGACAGACGGACGGACGGACGTACATGTCTTAATCGACTCAGAAAGTCATTCTGAGTCGATCGGTTTACTTTAAGGTGGGTATAGGACCAATATTTGTATGTGTTACAAACATCAGCACAAATGTATAATACCCTCCCCAATATAGTCGTGTAGGGTATAAAAAGGATCAATCTCCCGTCATGTCAATATTTGCGTATGTGCAATAATTAATTCATACATTAATAAAACAATCATACGCCACTATGTTTTCATATACATAAAACAATTTTTCTTTTATGCGTATGAGGAATTTCCAATTTAATAAAAATATTAATCATACTCACAACACACTACCAACAACAAAGAAAAATAAAAAAAAATACATTTTTTAAATGTTTTATTTTTTTACTTTTCAAATGACAATTTTAAACTAATACACAAATAATTACATTTAGACCATTTACATACTAACTTAAATGCATAGAAATAAATTTACTCTTCAAAAAAAAAAAAAAACATTTTACTTAAACCATTCAATTTTATATATTAATTTTTTCAACCACTTTTAACTGCGTGTGCTGGTTGGTGGTGGCCCATCACAGTTGCTACTTTTATTTACAATTGTATTTTTCTAGCTCCTTGACTTGGTGTGCAAATATAAAATTCAATACCATCAGCAGCAGTTTTATTGAATTTCTTAATGAAATTCTCACGCATTGTGGCAACAACATTATCAACAGCATTGCGTTGCAATAGTGTTACAGTACAGCCACCAAAGCCACCGCCAGTCATACGTGATCCCAAAACACCAGAACAATTAATGGCCGCATCGACAAGAACATCCAGTTCTATGCATGATACTTGAAAATCATCACGTAGTGACACATGTGACTTTGTCATTAGTTCACCCATCTGTGAAGAGAAGAAGAAAAAAAAAAAACATAAAAAGGAATATAAAAAAAAGCAAACCAAACTATTAAATTGCGAATAAGGGAATATGTGCAGTAATATGAAAATAGAGAAATTTTTTTAAAGGTTATTTTTTGCAAATGAACATAAAGACTAGTGACTCCAAGTATTGGTCAAACAATAGAATTGTGGGAGTGAATACAAACAATAACAGGAAGATGATGAAAAATATTTGAGGAAAATAGACAAAAGGCGAAGCGCTTTCGTACTACATTATAGAATAGACTACAGTACCATCTATGGCCCAGACTATAAAAAAGTCTATATTCTAGATTATAAAATAGTCTATAGTCCAGACTATAGAATAGTCTATAGTCCAGACTATAGAATAGTCTATAGTCTAAACCATAGAATCGTATATAGTCTAGACCATTGAATCGTCTATAGTCCAGACTATAGAATAGTTTATAGTCCAGACTATAGAATAGTCTATAGTTTAGACTATAGAATAGTCTATAGTCCGGACTATCGAATAGTCTATAGTCAGAAAATAAAATAGTCTCAAGTCCAGACTGTAGAATAGTATACAGTTCAGACTATAGAACAGTTTATAGTTTAGACTAAAGAATAGTATCTTGTCCAGACTATAGAATAGTCTATAGTCCAGACTATAGAATAGTCTATAGTCCAGACTATAGAATAGTCTATAGTCCAGACTATAGAATAGTCTATAGTCCAGACTATATAGAATAGTCTATAGTCCAGACTATAGAATAGTCTATAGTCCAGACTATATAGAATAGTCTATAGTCCAGACTATAGAATAGTCTATAGTCCAGACTATAGAATAGTCTATAGTCCAGAAGTCCAGACTATAGAATAGTCTATAGTCCAGACTATAGAATAGTTTATAGTACAGACTATCGAATAGTCTATAGTCCGGACTATAGAATAGTCTATAGTCCAGACTATAGAATAGTCTATAGTCCAGACTATAGAATAGTCTATAGTCCAGACTATAGAATAGTCTATAGTCCAGACTATAGAATAGTCTATAGTCCAGACTATAGAATAATCTATAGTCCAGACTATAGAATAATCTATAGTCCAGACTATAGAATAGTCTATAGTTCAGACTATAGAATAGTCTATAGTCCAGACTATAGAATATACTATAATCCAGACCTTAGAATAGTACATACTAGAAAATAGTCTATAGTCCAGTCTATTGTTCAGAATATAGAATAGTCCAGACCTTACAATAGACCATACTCCAGACTATAGTATAGTGTATAGTACAGACTCTAGAATAGTCTATAGTTCAGACTCTAGAATAGTCTATAGTTCAGACTATGGAATTTTCTACTGTCCAGTCTATGGAATTGTTTATAGTCCAGACTATAGAATAGTCTATAGTCCAGACTATAGAATTGTATATAGTGCAGACTATAGAATGGTCTATAATCCACACTATAGAAAAGTCTATAGTCCACACTATAGAATAGTCTATAGTCCAGACTATAGAATAGTCTATAGTCCAGACTATAGAATAGTCTATAGTCCTGACTATAGAAGAGTCTATAATCTATTCTTATGACTGTGAAATAGTCTAAAGTCCATACATTAGAATAGTCTATAGTCCAGGCTATAGAATTTTTAGTCTATAGTCCTGACATTTTTCTGTTTAGAGATAGATCGGATGTCTTTTAAAAATTTTTCTGTTGAGAGACAGAGTAAACTTCTCTTAGATAATCTGTATCTAGAGACAAAACAAACCTCTCCCAAATTTTAGTTTTTTAAAGTCACATCTTAACTAATTGACTTAAATATCCTGAAAAACTTCTTCTTTCAAATTGACAAAACCAACTTTAACTTACAATGAACATGAAAACTTGAGTAAGCACGTCTTGTGCCGTTATTAGCTCACAAAAAACAGTATAAAGAAAAGAATGAAAAGTATGAAAGAAAAATATTCCAACATATTGCTTGATTTAGATCCTAAGAGAGTTCAAATACAATTTCCTGTTAAATTAAATACTTTTTATTTAAAGTACAAAAACAGCAACCAGTGCAAACAGTAATTTTTTTGAATTTTTTCAGTTGTTGGCATCATTTTAATGTTGTACATTTAATAGTTGGAAAAAATTAAAAAAAAAAACAGAAATTTATTAAATTATAAACATTGTGGTTTGCCATTTAAAACGTTTTTTTTTTTTTCTATTTTTTCTAAACTCGGCATGTGGCTTTAATATTAGAAAACATATAAATCTTAACTAGTGCAACACAGTGTGTTAACACACAGTTAATTCTTTAGTATTGGTAACAGAGGAGGGGAAAAATGCGCACACACAAAGGCCAAATATTCCCTAGACTATAGAAAGCCAGTAGCTAACCACAACTAACAAATTATATTATAAAAATACAGAACAAACAATCTGGGAAGTGAGTGCGAGTATATGTATGTATTATAACTTCTATTACTATGCAATAGTTTTTTCTATATTTATTTTTCTTACGTTGGTGTGCGTGCATGTATTTGTTTATTTTTAATTTACTGCATGTAATAATTTTATGGTCTAAATAACATATAAGCTGTAGGAATTGAATGTGTATGTTAGTATGTGTGAATAAAATATTTTTCTTTATAAAAACTGTGATCCAAAGTCTACAACTTTCAATCAGTTAAACTATATTTGCGCTTAATGCCTCAATTATAAAAACAAATCCTTTGATATCTTTTGGCCAAAAATACTATTTTCATTAAAAACCAAAATGTTCTATCTGTTGAAATTTTTTCTCTCTTCAATACACATCCATAAGTATATGTATATAAATAATTCTTCACAAATAACCTTCACATTTGGTATGTTTTTTTTCAAAATAAACTTTTTAATCAATGCAAGTCAATTAAGCACTGAAGAGCATGAGTTTTTCAAACATTATTTTTTCACAACTATGATTTGCTGTAGAAACAACGTTGAAAGCCTCTTTACCTTTGTGCAAAGAGAAAGGGAGAGAGAAAGTTCGGTAGAGTGGTAGGCAGGGATGGAAAATGAGATTTTGTTTCAGTATCAAAAAATATTTCAGAGGGTACTTTTTTGGATCTTAGAGTACTAAAATATTTTTTTTTTGCTGAAAGTTGTTAATTTTTTAAATACACCTTCACATATTTAGACATTTTTAAATAATTAACAACAGAAGTAGAAAAGGTATTATATATACCGTAGGGTGATCGATTATTCGACATTTTCCAAAAACCGGTTTTCGAGTAGTTCGAATAGTTGACATTTGAAAAAAAACCGGTTGATATTTTTCAAATTCAGAGAAAATGGATTTTTATTATACATAAAAACATCTAGTTTAATTTGAAAAAAAATTATGACCCGAACTGATTTTTTAAAATAAACATTATTTCTTTAATGTAAAAAATTGGGAAGAATCCTAGTTTATTCTAAAGTCCCTGTTTAGTTAATTTTCATAGGCATTCCAACACTGCTATAATATTTCAGCGCCAAATTAATTATTGTAATTGGAATATAATCTTAAGATTGATAAAATTTTATCCAACAGTTATTCCAATCAATTTTACAAATAAATTAATTAGGAATTAATTAGGAATATCAAAAAAGTTTAACCAAAGGTGCTTTAGAAAAATATACTCTAGTTTCTTGACTCGAATATTTTAAAATTTAGACAGGTATTATTATTTATTTCAAAATTTAATTGAAGTAATCTTTGAATACAAAGCAAATAAAAGTATTCGAAACCGGCTTTTAAAAAGTTAAAAACCGGGTTATTTGATATTCGAAAAAATCAACATTTAGAAAAAACCGACATTGGTAAATAGTTAAACTGAAAAATTTGATTGATAATAGAATAATAGAATAAAGTGTTATATACTATTGTAAAGCTAATGAAATTACGCGTATGCGTATGATGTACATATTAAGTATGTTAGATAAATATAGCTAACAGAATACCTGGGACAAAATAGAGTTTAAAATATTAAGATAAAATACAAAATATAAAGAATTTCGAAAAACAGAAAAAAACCATTTCGGCAAATTTAGGTGAGGTTTATAATATAATAATTTCAATTAATTACATTATATATTTCTATGTAAAAATATGAAAAACTTAAAATTTTCCCGAAAAATTACGACATTTGTAATCATTTTGGTGTTGTATACAAATTTGTGTATGTCATTGAAATCGTCTCCCAAGGACCTTTCATATGATACTAAATTTGCATATGGTTTATTTGTCAAAAATGTGAAAAAAATAACATAAAAACCCTAAAAAGGACCTTTTTATTCTTTGATCCAGCTCACCAAATATTGACGTCAGGACAAAAATTTTGAGAAATGGTATCTTAGAATGAACTAAATTTTCATTTTCGGTGGGAACATCAGCAATTCCCATTTTGGGGCCACCCTAATATACATATGTGTTATTAAATTAAAATTCGATGTACATAGGTGTTCATTTGTTAAAAAATCAATAGTCATATCAAATTCTACACATGAGACCATACATAAGACCATCCATGACATGAAACAGTAATTTGCTTTAAAGTCCAAATAATTTTCACCAAAAATTTCTCTTATTATCTATGGTTGAATTCTTAATTTAAAAACATATCGTTTTATATTAGATAGAAATTGAGTCCTTCGAGCTTCTATCATTTGGAAATAATTAGTTTTAAAGTCAAATATTTTTTCAAAATTGAAATTTTTTGGTAATTTTTTCATATAATATTAACAATGGAGTTTAATTAGATTAATATTCATATAATGTCAATCAAGATAAAAATTCGAAATGAGCTGCATTGTTATTTGCAAAACATACTTCTAAAAAGTGGCTTTTAAAACTAGATTTCAAAACATTCTTAGAATTTCAAATTTGAACTTTTAAAGATACTTGGACCCCCATTTTCTCATTGTCTGATTATGTTTTATCATAACGATAAATTTACATTTTACATACAAAAATAATTTTAACCG